ATCACATACAAAGGAAAGCCCATCAGAATCACAGCAGACTTCTCAACACAAACCATCAAGGCAAGAAGAGCTTGGAGTGACATATTCTAAGCCCTAAAAATATTTCTTTACAATCTGTTTTCTCCATCATATGTACTTTCATGTTATTGGAGTGGATAACAAAGTAGATACAATTTTATATCCTTAGATATTTTTAATAGTTAAATTTAAGACAAAGTAAGAGTTAACTTTAATTTTATTCCTGATAGCTTATAGAATAGAATCTCATTTTAATATAGTTCAGTTAATCTAGCTTTTCAGACAGCATACACATTGCATCAGTCTTTAGATTTTGATGGTCTGGAATGATGTCAATCTCATACAGCACCATACATATCATTCATGCTTTCCAATAAATTATAAAGATGTTAAGCTTACAAAGCTACATGCTTATTTGGGAATATTTTAGAAGGCCTCTTCATATCTGCTTTGGTTTTTGTTAACTGTGTAAGTTTTTCTATCTTAACAAATCCCATAACAAATGATGTGGAATTAAAGGCCTAAAGAGAAATGAAAGAGGTGTAGCAACTTCAGAAACCATTTTTTTGTGTGTGTCCATGTAACTCAGAAATTTATTCAGACATACAGCCGTAGATAACTATAGCTTGTTATCATGGAGAGTGATCTGTTAGGAAAAATGTGAACTGTCCTGTAATCAATTACTTTAAAAAATTATATATATATATACTTTATAGCTTTGAGATAGAATTTGCACCTGTTTGACCACTATAGGCATTTTATTACATTGATCTTAACTCAAAGATTGAAAAATGTTAAGTAGAACTAAAGGAATAACAGCATTGAAAAAGTTACATATAATTTCAACAAATCAGAAAAAGGAGGGCCAAGGATTTAGCTCAGTGGTTCTGCCGCCTGCCTCACAAGCGCAAGAACCCGAGTTCGATCCCCGGTACCAAAAGAAAAGAAAAAGGAAAATATTTCTTGTTATGCTGTTTATGAAACCCAAGACCAGGAGCATGCTAGGCAAGTGTTATAACACTGAGATATATGTATCTCCAGCCCAGAAAAAGAAAACTTGGGGAAAAAAATCTATTTGAAAGGCACTGAGTTTACTACATCTGTTTCTTTGGAGACACTAACTTCGTGTACTGTCTCTGTTTCCATGAGATGTGACATTAGGTCACCTCTTTATTATTATTAAATAGGGTTTAAAATTATTACCTGTTTTAATGGGCTATCATTGGTGTTCAATAAAATGTAAACCATATAATACTTAATGGTACTCAGCAAATGGTAGCTTCTGTTACTGTTTTTCCAGAGTATAAAAAAGGATTCAGATGAGAGAGGCTTAAGTTAACCTCCCTGTATTCAGGCCTGGCTTTGCTACCTGCTGGCTTGTGACCTCTCTGTGTCTCAGTGTTCTCTATAAAATGAGGTAATGATTGTCCCTATCTCATAGGATATTAAGTGGGTTACATGAATTAATAGAGCTAAGTACCTAGTGAATGTAGCCTCTTATTATTTACATTGATTGGTTTCTCTATATTGATTTCTATAGGAGACAAGCTATGGGAGGTACAGTGTGAGTCCCCAACCTTCACCGTGGCATGGCACCCCAAAAGGCCTCTGCTAGCATTTGCCTGTGATGACAAAGATGGCAAATACGACAGCAGCCGGGAAGCTGGAACTGTGAAGCTGTTTGGGCTCCCCAATGATGCCTGAGAGGAGGGCCTGGCAGAGACCTTCCTTGGTGTAGCTTGTCTGCTCTCTTGGACTTGGTGGGCACCCTTAGTATTTGTAAATCGTTATAAAGATCTTTTGTCAGGCTACCCCTTCCAATTCCCTTCCCGTTTTTTATGTCAGCTGTTTCTGTTCTTCTTCCTCCAGCAGTTAGGTGGTGTGCACTGTGTAGGATGCACAATGACCCTGCATGCTTGTCCTCTGGGGACTCCTTTCCTCTGATTTAGATCTGTAATAGCCTTTGTTGAGCTTGATGCTGCTTTGACCATTTCTAGTTTGAAGGGAGGGTGGGATAGGGATGGGTTTTTGATAATTAAAAAATATGTATATAATTTTGAGAATTGAGTTTTAATAAAACTGATTTTTTATTATGGGACTTGGATTTTTAAAATTATGGATTATTAATGTGTTTTACAGGGAGATATTGCAGTTTCGTGTATTTTTTGTTTTGTTTTAAATCTGAGAAAGTATAAATGTAGTAGTTCTGTTTAACATCCTAATCAAAGAACCATATAAAATGTAAGGTCAAAGCATGCAATGTATGAGCTACAGCAGTCCTTAAAAGTCACCAGTTGTTTTGTTTTTTGTTCTTTTTTGAGACAGGGTCTCACTATGTATTTCAGGCTAGCCTTGAACTCACTATGTAACCTAAGATGGCCTTGAACCCAGAGTGATCCTTCTTTGCCTCAGCCTCCCGAATTCTGGGATTACAGGTGTGAGCCACCAAACCCAGCTAAGAGTCGTCAGTTGTTTTGTATGATTGTATGTATGCTTGGCTTCATTCTACACAGATTTGTAGACAACAGATTATGACAAACACTGAGAAAGTTACAAAATAGAATAAACATAAAATCAGGATAAGACAAATATAAATGGAGTAGAAAATTAATACTAAAGGTCTACTTAAAGATTTAGCTAAAATTTTGGCTTTGAGCGCCCTAGTGGCAAAGTGAAGAAAGGGAGTAAGTCAACAAAGTTTTAGTATGAAAAAGAAAAACACTTGCTCCTCATGGGAAGCACAGCTTCCTTAGGTCTTACCTCTAAAAAAATTCTGATGTAGGGGGCCTGTTGTCTGTGAATGATGTCTTGATTTTGATTTTATCTTAGTCTTTTTTAGCGTTAAAAAATAGAAATATATTTCAATATGCTATGTTTGTAGAAAATTTTTGAAAAAGCAAATAAACACGAAGAATTTTTTTGTAATAATGTATTTTTAATATATAACAATGAAATTCTAAAGCCCATAGACAGAATTAAAAGGTAAGACCTATATTCCGTCATTGAGTAGCGATTGCTCATACAGAGTGCATTGCAAACTCAGGAATAACCTATATATAGGTAAGATGTTGCCTTTTCTCTTTCTGACACTGGCTTCCTATTTTGGCAGAACTGGATTTAAATCCTGGCTCTAGCAGTGATTGATTTAAACCTACTTTTCTCATCCATAAAGTGTAGAGATATTAATCTCCTTCTCAGTGGGTTGTTGGGAGAATGAAATGAGAGAAAGTATTTGTAAAGTGTCTAGCACAGCACCTGGGACACAGGTGAAGGTGATGCTTGATAAATCCATTCTTGTGTGGGATGTGGCAGCTCCTAATGAGAATACAGGGGCTGGCTGCAGAGACGTGTCAGCCCATCAGCTTGCTCAGCTCCCCATCCCAAGCCAAGTGATCCATGTTAGCCATCCCAGGAGTGATGCTGTGGAGACTTGTCCATCACACCTGGGCATGGTGGGAGGTGCAGAGGAGAAATGTTAGATCTGCTTTCTGCTTGAAGTCTTTGGGCTCATGATGGATGCATGTGTATGTGAACAAATAGTCTGTATCTCAGGGCTTCACACTGATGAGTGAAAATGGAGGCGCAAACTAAAGTTCCTTTAGCTGAGGCCTCTAGGAAAGGAGTGGACAGAAAGGAGGTGGGCTCAATGCAAATTTTGAACGTAGTGTGTGTGAATGCAGGGCAGAGGACATGTGCAAAGGGGCTTTGCAATTGAGCAAAACAGAGACGCCAGTGCCCTGGGATGTGGAGAAGTGTTAGGCTCTGGCTAGTAGTGTGGCCATGTGACTAGGAATAGATGGATAGACCTGGGTTCAGAACTCCAATGTTAGAGAAAATTTGGCTAAATTACTTTACTTCCATATTGCTTATCTTTATTTTTAAATTTTGTTGTTGTGCTGGGAATTGGACCCTGGGTCTCACACATCCTAGACAAGTAGTCTGCCACTGAATTACATCCCTTTCCCCAGTTTTTGCTTATCTTCAGAATGTCCATAAGTGTGTGACTTAGATTAAATTGACATGTAAAATGCCTGGTACATTATTAGCATTCAGTAAATAGCTATTTTTTTTCACGTAGGTATAGTACCATATGTGTGTGCTGTTCGGAAAGGACTTCAAGTGTCCCTTCACATTTTGTGCAAAAGTGTGTGGAGGGTGTAAACAATAGAGTTTCATAAATGGTGTGAGATGGGATGGGATTTGAAGAAAATATTTTTGGTTTTTTGAGACAAGATCTTGCTATGTACTCCAGGCTGACATTGAACTCACTATGTAGACGAGGCTGGCCTTGAACGGGCAGTGATCCTCCTGCTTCAGCCTCCTGAGTGTTAGAATTATAGGCATGTGCTACCATGCCCCACAAGAAAATGAATATTTTATACCTATTACTTAGTACCTATTATGGTTCAGATCTAAAATGTCCCTCAGTAGTCTCAGGAATTCAGAGGTGGGGCTTTTGAAAGGTGTTGGATCTTGGTACTATATTCATTGTGGATTAATCCATTGATGAGTTCATACCTGAGTGTGCCATTAGGCGGTAGAGCCTGGTTGGAAGAGGTGGGTTGCTGTGGGCATGACCTGGTCCCCATCTCCCTTCTCTCTCTGCTTTCTTGCTGCCATAGCAGCAAGGGTGAGCAGCTATCCTCTGCCATGCCCTTCCACCATGCCATTTCTGCCTTGGAGCCAGCCAACCATGGACTGAATCTAGTGAAACTCAGCCTAATAAACCTCCTTTAACTTATGGGTGTCAGATATTTTGTCACAGGGATGGAAGAGTGACTAATACAATACCTATTTATACAACTAAAGTCCTTTTTAAACTTAGGGATAGCATATTGAAAACTTAGCCAATGATTACAAATTTACCAACATTTTTTTTTTGGTACTGGGGATTGAACTTGGGTCCTTGCGCTTGCACGGCAGGCGACAGAACCACTGAGCTAAATCCCTGGCCCCTTACCAACAATTTTTATATTTGAAATTGTTGCCAACATAGAGTCATAAATTGTTCAATTTTCTTTTCTCTTTTTTTCTTTCTGTCTTCTCTTTCTATGCTGGGGCTCAAGCTCAGTGCTTCCTACTTGCCAGGCAAGCACAGTATCATTGTGCTATACCTCCAAGCCTAAGTTGTTGAATTTTAAGACATCCAGCATCGCAATGTATTACCATTTAAGAGAAGCAGGCTTTAGTATGAAAACATGCCCACCCAACCAGCAGTGTCACAGTAAGTCACCTGTGTACAACTTGGCCCAAGGTGAATCAAGGAGGCCACTGTGGATCTACCAAGAACAAGTTGGTAAACTCATGTTTCCTCTTATCTTCCTGATAGTGTTGCCAGAATACAGGTCAGGACATGGTGCAGATAGAGTAAGAAATCAGTGAGAACATCTCAGGATGTCCTTGAGCACTTTAGAAGATCTGGCCTAGAACAGATGATTTGTACCTGGTTATCAAATGTAACTGTATCTAGAATAGGGATTAAAGTCAGCTTGGAGAAAAGTTTCTCTCTTAAAATGAGCTGTAATGGTGGAGTTCAGGTTGAAGATGACAGGCCTATGATTTTTTTTTTTTGGTACTGGGGATCGAATTCGGAACCTTGCGCTTGTGAGGCAGGTGCCGGAGCCACTGAGCTAAATCCCCTGCCTGACAGTCCTATGATTATCAGACATTTGTGATGGACCTCATTTCCTTCCAAATGGCAGCTGAAAGTGTTTTTTGCTCAGCAAATGGAAAGGTGTTCCTCTAACCGTCTATTAGGTTGACCAAAAGTTCAGCTCTCTGCTAGGCTTTGTACAAGGGAAAGAGGGACAAGTCAAACTACTGTACCCATTTTACAGATGAAAACTAAGGTTCAGGGAGGTTAGAGAACTTTGCCAGTGTTAAATAGTAACTCAGTTTGAGGCCCACATTCCTTTTGTGTTATGACCTGTTTTGGGGCCACAAATCTCAACTGTTCAGCCTCATCTAGACATGGCTTACCATTAACAGATGTAAAAGTTTGGAGTATCAGGGGTTTTGCTGCCAATATTTAGATTCACATGGTTCTTTGTGGGAAAGGTATCGTGCTGCTCATGGGTAGAAACTAAAGAAGGAAGTTTAGCTTGGTGGAGTGAAGGCAAATAACACATTAAGAACTCTAATTGCTCATGCCTGTGTCTGAGTGAATAAAGCCAATGTGCGCCAGTCATTTGGGACTCTGTTGAAGGGAGACATGAACCCTCTGGCCCCCCAGATTTTAACTTGTTTCTGTGTCTTATTTTTCATCTTTGCTCAGTAATAACAGCTATTGGGCAGAGGAGCAGGATCTAAACCTTTGTTCACAGCTTCAAAGCCTAGGTCTTTTCCAGGAGATTGATTTTTCTTGGCTCTAGCTATATATTGGAACTATCTGACATACAGACCTACCCATCCCAGCCAAGCTTCCCTGGCTATTCTAACATCCAGCTCTGTTGAGAACCTCTGCACTAGTCCTTGCTGTATCTTCTGCATTGTCACAGAAATGTCACAGGAGTCCCTGGATGTGGAGGATGAAGGCTTCCTAGAGGAGGCATTAGAGGTTATCCTTGAAAGGTTGTTAGGAATCTCCCTGGAAGCCCTTGAAGGAAGTTTGAGGCAGAGAGGCTGGGCTAGACAAAGGCTTGGGGAAATGAACTATCCTTGTCTGGTGTGGAAAGCAAGGAGCCAGTGCAGCAGTGGCAGGTAATAATAGGATAGACCTGGCTTCAACAGACCTTCCATCAAGGAGAGTGCCAACCCAAGCTTTTGGATGCATCTACCTGTCTGTCATGGCCTATTTCATCCCTTTTCT